ATCAGGAGTGTCAAACTCAAATTCACAGAGGCTGAAATTAAAAACTGGGACTAAGTCGTGGGCCAAACTAAATATTTATTGAAACATTTCAACAACATCTGTATGTTTTCTCTTCTTGCGAGATTTGTAATATTAAACCTTTACTTATTCAAATAAATGTTTAATAATAGTTTTGCTTAAACACTGAATCCAGAACAAGCTAGAATATCAAGTTTTAAATAATGTCACTATAGTCTATCTGTAGCCGGCGGGCAGCTCTAATACATGTTTGATATGATCCCGCAGGCCAAATATAATTATATCACGGGCCAAATTTGACCCCCGTGCCTGAGTTTGACATGTCTGATATAAATCATAACCACTGTAGAACCACATCAGCCCGTTTGAGATTATAATATGTTTAATTCAGCTTTGACACATTTGTTTACATTTTACAGAAACTAAACTTAAAACCACATGACTCATTTGCATAAACTATAAGCGCTGAAAAAAAAACATCTCTTTTCTTGATGTGGTTCAGCTTCTGTCGGACTAAAGGTTTGTTGATTAAAAATGAATGTGATTGATGAAATTCTTAATGATCAATTATCGATTAGTCAACTAATCATGCCCATCCCTACTCCTTATGTCCTTTGTGATTGGTTGAAAGACATCTCAGTAACTTTTACAGTGGGGTTTTACTTATTGTCATAAATATAATGCAGTTATTTGCAAAAGCTAATTACAGTGGGAATGTTATTGCTTTTTTAGCAGTAAAATCACTTATACTTAAATAAATGCAATGTTTGGGTTACCCTGTGTAAAAACATGTTTAGGTAACCCTTTATACTGTACAAAAAAACAATATCTAGGTAAGTTAAAATGACTTAAATTAAGAACATTTTACTTTATTTAAGCAGTACTTTTTGTTACATTTTTTCCTTAATTCAAGCAACATTCAATTTAGTTTCTTATTATAAGTGTGAGGAGTTGTTGTTTTTCTTATTCTTAAGTGCAGCAAGTTGCATTTTCATATTTAAAATACAAAAAGTCTTGTTCCACTGGCAGATAAATTTACTTGTTGAGTGAAATTGAGTCAAATCATGCTAAAACTTTCTTAATCGAGTCATCTTAACTTGACTAGATTTTGTATTTTTTGCAGTGTATTATTAGTCTGTCTCCATCTCCAAAACCCAAAATGCTCTGTTCCACCTTGTGACGTCATGAAGCGCTATTTTTCACTTTTCACAACTACCTTTTACCTTTATTTCAGTAGAGATTGGCAATTCCAGGGCTGAAATCATCCAAATGATTCTAAAGAAGGTGTATAGAGTTTAAAAACACAGTGGAGCACCTCCTATATCTCTACATGACATCACAAAGTGGAACAGAATGTTTTCAGTTTCAGAGAAGAACACAGCCTAAAAATCCAAGATTTGTGTGAATGAAACAAAACGCAACTCCAGGTTGGTTTGTGATGAGGAAACGACATTATAACAGATCAAAAAATAGCGTGATATGGGCCCTTTTAATGCCACACTGTGGAACATTCCAAGCAAACCAATAACATCTCCATTTAGACAAGAAAGTAGAGGCGCCTTCACCAGAAATGCTGCAAATTTCACTTCCCAAATCATTCCTAGAAAAGAACCAACTCTTTTTATATACCTCGCAGTGTATCCAAAACTAAATGGCAGTAATCCAGATCCTTCCTGGCACAAAACACCACTAATCCACTTATTGCATTAGATTTAAACTCAAACTATTGTGTTCCTTTCCAAACGCCGCAGCCTCGAGATGATATAAAGCATTAATGACAAATAGGAGATAAGATAGTGAGACATTTGTGATTTGTATCCAGTTAATCTACAGAGATTTAACACCCGCACTGCTAATCCCAACAGAACAGCTCTTAAAATGGAGTGAGTCAGTGATTGTAACGGTAACTTGGTGATATCACGATCAGAGAAACCCCCTTTTTTTGAGAAACGAGACAATTCATGAGTCATGGTGTGAAAAAAGAACAAAGGAAACACCAACAAGACGAAAATGCACAGAGATCAGACGATGGTGTAATGGCGTGTTCAACAGAAAGAGGAAATCCTGTTTAGTTCTAACAACAGAAAAAAACAAAAAACTGTCACACATCAATCTATCATTCATGTGGCACAGACTGCAGAAAGAAGTGTTCAGCTCCAGTCAAATGAAGCTTGTTGAGACTAGGAGTTATAGGGATAAATTTGGAGCCCAGTTCCCCGTTGCCATCGTACCAACCAAAAATCCAATTCAGTAATAATTATCCGGAAATCAGATGGAAAGTCCTCCTGAACTGTATGCTTTATGTTAATCTATATACATAAAAAATACAAGTTTAATTATTTATATATATTGTATTAATTACACACACAAGTTACAATTATCTCAACATATGTGTACCTTCCTAAAATTGATTCTGAATGATTTTTGAACAAATTCTCTAGCTTTCTAAGTTTCTTGTGTTGCGCTGCTTACAAAGTCTGTTCATGGCAGCAGGTAAGGAAATAATTAGTATTTCTTCCCAAATCAACAGTTACAGATGCTATAGGACATGTGGAATAAGAAAAAAAAAAATTAAATATGATTTCATTGTAAACTTCTGAGACCAAATGAAGATTATATTGATATTTAATACTGAAAAAATGTGTGCCGCTTCGGAAGACGTGTAGCTCCCACGCTACAGGTTGGAGATTCGTGTACTAGTACCATATTTTTCGTACTGTACGTGGCATGTTTTTTTATGGTTTGGGTGTTTCCTGCGACTTATACTCTGATGTGACTTATATATCAAAATGTTCACACTGACAGCCACAAGAGGGCGCTCTAGTCTTGTGTGTCAGTATCTGCAGCTCCTGTTCCTCACTTCACTCTACTGCACATGTCTCCTGCAGAAAGAGCCTCTGTCTGTATCAGCATGGAGCTATAATAAAAATGGCAATGGCAACTGGGAGGATGCACCATGCAACTTTCCTGGAAGTCACTGGATGGATGGACAAAGCCTGGACTTCAGTGACACTGAAACCATCCTGTCGGGATTCAGAAAGGCCAGAATAATTCTAAATGGAACTGACGACAGCGACACAGAAGAGGAAGCGGCGCTCTGTTTACCTTCGGAGGTTGTGGAGTTGCTCAGAAGTGACACCGAGGATGAAGAATTGAATGGATTTAGTGATTTGGAGTGAGATGGAGAGTTTGGTTAAACTTGTTCTGTTCTGTTGTTTATGTTATAGTTTATCTGAAGAACTGTTCATATGTGACGTTAACAGTCTGTTGTTCTCTCTTCTACTGTTATTACTAGAACTTAACTTTCAACATGAAATGTCTGTTCCTGGTATCTAATTTTATAAAATAAATTTCCCCAAAAAAGCACGACTTATAGTTCGGTACGACTTATTTATATATGTTTTTTCTTCTTCATTTTGCATTTTTTGGCTTGTGCGACTTTTAGTCCAAAGCAACTTATAGTCCGAAAAATATGGTATGTTGCCAGATGGAACTAGTTCTAACCATCTCTAGCTAAAGAATTCAAATTCTTTAGCTAGAGATGGCTTCAGCAGTGGTCATCTGGACTCTATTTTTGAGATCTTGACAGCAAAAAACAGTATCCAGATGACCACCGTTGAAACCATCTCTACATCCAAGAGGTATTACACCGTCTTTCTGTAGGCTTATATAACGTTAAAGTAATTTGTTTTCACTGTGTACTTTGTAGCTCCAAGAAACATAGCTCTCATTGATCAGTGCGTCACTCATGGCTCATGCTCTGGCCATCCTAATCAATTAAAAGCTTCCTAATTGGATTACTGTCTGCTGCAGGACTGGTCTGGATGTAATATGGACAAACTGTTGGTCCGTGTTTGTTCGTGAGACACTGCGCTCTCATAGGTTTAAATGGTGGCGTCAGCTCTGTTACACTGGGAGGAAAGAGGAAGACAAGATTCCCCTTTGCACAAGGCCTGTCCAGTGTGACGTCCAGGCATGATTCACACATATCTGTGGTCACCGGTGTGGTCTGCTGTATTCCTCATTCAGTGCAGTGCAGTGGGAAACAATGGAACTTTTCTGTAAGGTTCTCAAAGGTTCTGGAAATACTAATTGATACAAAAACTAGTATCGACACAAGATACTCATTTGAGCAGGTATCGATACTAAAAAAGTCACATTCTCAGGACAATAATTTATCTTTCCTGAGTAGCTTTAGGATGATCTTGAGCTGTATCAGAGCAAGTATAAGAGCTCATACAATAGTACCATATTTTTCGGACTATAAGTCGCACTTTTTGGGGGAAATTCATTTTATAAAATCAGAGACCAGGAACTGACATTTAGAAGAGGGAACAACAGACTGTTAATGTCACATATTTCACAGTTCTTCAGATAAACTATAACATAAACAATAGAACAGAACAAGTTTACCAAGCTCTCCATCTCACTCCAAATCACTAAATCCATTCAATTCTTCATCCTCGGTGTCACTTTTGAGCAACTCCACAACCTCCGAAGGTAAACAGAGCGCCGCTTCCTCTTCTGTCGTCAGACTCAGCATCAGTTCCAGTTAGAATTATTCCGGTGTCACTGAAGTCCAGGCTTTGTCCATCCATCCAGTGACTTCTGGAAAGTTGCATGGTGCACCCTCCTGGTGTCACAAGTTTCTCGCTTTCTCGCTCGGTTTATAGTCTGAAAAATACGGTATACACTTGTAGACCACTATAGAACCTACCTGGACCACTGAGGGATTACACAGATGTAAGACCAATTTAAGACTAATTTAATGTTGAAAATCACTTTCTATTGTCTAAATAAAGAATGTTTTACTGTCATTGTGGCATCAGAATCCATATTGAGTATCAAGTCTATTCCTTAGTACCAAAATCAGGTCTGAAATGTTTAGTATTGTGACAGCACTAGATCAGATCTGTGGAAAGAGGTGACTCCATTCACAGTACAAGTGTGTGTTTTCGAAATCCTTATTTGTGAACTCGTACCTGGAGGTCGAAGAACTTGCTGTAGCGTCTGTAAATGGTGTCTGTGCTGCCATCGCTCCACAAGACTTTGATAATGTAGACCTGGAAAATCAACAGACAAAATCACATGAATAAAGATAATACAACAAACATATGTGTAGTACTATAAAATAATATTTTTTCTTGTTTTTTTTTTTCGTGAGATACAATTCCTGGTTTGCCCATATGGAATTAGACCAGAATCAGTCCTGGTTTACTACTGTTGGTCAAGTTAAGACCTGGTTTAGTTCTAGTGCCGTAGAATAATTTGAAGTAGCCAAGGTAGTCAAGAGTTCTAAAGCAAGAGAAGTTTATTTACCATCAGTGCAGAACCTAAAGACATGAACCTTCAAGACAGTGTAGTGCAATCTGGCTATACTTCCGTTGTAGGGAGTATTATACCTCATCTTTGTAATGTTAATTTGAAACACTTTCGCACGCTAGGCCTGTCACAATAACAAATTCTGAAGTGTGACATATTGCTAAAAAAACTAAAGGCTACTGTTGTCCATTCCAATGTAGTGCAGTCTGGCTATGCGTCTGTTGTAGGGAGTATTATACCTCTGATGACATAGGACAAGATAACAGGGACTGAACTGGCATTGGCAGTGTGAACCCAACATTTATTTATTTTTTATCTGGTCTATAATAATGATTTTGTAATGTTTAAGGTGCAGTACATAACTTCTTTGGGGTCCATCACCTGCTTGTTTCTACGGATATGTCATTGATCAGCCTGGAATGTTCCGCAATATGGCATTAAACAGCTCCACTTTACATTTATTAAATTACAAGTGCTTTTATTGCTCAAAAAAAAAAAAACCTTTAGAAAAACAGGCATTCTAACCTCTCCACAGATCTAACCTCTAACTTGGTCTGGTTTGGTCTCCATGAAGATAGGAATGTTTAATGCCATACTGTGGAACATTTCAGACAAAGTAATAACATGTCCATGGAGAAAAGTATCTGACGGACCCTGCGCCAGAAATGTTACACAATGCACCTTTAATTAAAAAAGGAAAAAGAAACAGAAAGACCTGCCACTAGGGGCGTAATGATATCCAAGTCTCACGATACGATATCGTCACGGTATGAACTTCACGGTACGATATTTATTGCGATATTCTGTGGAGGCTAAACAGCTAAAACTGTGAATATGCTACTTTTTCCTCTTAAAATGCCTTGACAAAAGTTAATCCAAAGAACTAAGACTTAAAAGTGCTTAGAACTGTTATTTCTTCTTGTCGTCTGCACTGAAATGGAGCAAAGGATCATGGTCTATGTAGTTCCCTCTGACTTTTTTTTAGCTGTTGCTGCACCATAACTCTTCATTTAAGCAAAGAGACTTGTAATTCGATATATTGTGATGGTCCACGATATTATTATTGTGAGAACTTTGACGATATCACAGTATTTTGGTTATTGTTAAATCCCTAACTGTCACGATAACAAATACGAAATTTTGAAGTATGACATATTGTTGAAGTAAATATAGATAAAAAACAATAATATTGAAACAAATTTTTGCTTCTGACACAATAACTCTAAAGCAAGATTATCTCCAAAAACTATTCTTATGTAACTTAACGTATAATCAGTGTTGGGAGTAATGTGTTATAAAAATAATGAATTACTGTAATGCATTGCTTTTTGCTGTAACGCAGTAATGTTACGGCATTACAGGGAAAAAGTGGTAATATTTTACTCTGTACAAATGTCAGTGCTGAAAGGACCAGGGCTAAATTACGCAGCCTGGGCCTCACTATCTTTTTTCTAATCACTGTAATAACCCTCAGAAAATCACTCAGCTTTAAAGACACAATGCAAATAACTCTGACTACACTCAAAAATATCACATAGCTTTAAAACCACAATGCATACTCAAAAATATCATTTACTACACTCAAAAAGATATCATTTCTTCAATAACACAAGGTAAATATCATTTACTACACTCAAAAATTATCGTTTAACTTTAAGAAACACCATACAGGAAACTTTAACAACTCTTAAAGTATCACCTGGGGAACACTTACAACTTCACTTAGCTTTAGAAACCACTATGAAATGCTCTACACTCTATCTGACAACATTTGCCCAAAACACATTTTTGACAGTGCCTCAAAGAATTTAACCAGATTTAGTTTTATACCAAAAACATTGGAAATATTAATTTATCCTTAGCAGTTCCTCAAAACCTTTAACCAAATTTAGCTTTGCATCAAAACATTGCATTTTTGTAAGTAACTCACCTAGGATGACTTGACTTGCTCGTGGTAAATATATATGTATAATAATTAAGGGAAAAGACTCAACAAAAGATTCCAACAAGTGATTTGTCTTTGTCTTATTTTCTGCTTTTTATTGTTTAACGCACCACGAAAGTGACTGGTGGTCACTCGTTATACTCGTGGTCACTCAGGGTTTTTAGGCTCACGACAGAGCACTTATAACCAACTCACTCCGTGGCCACTATTTTTACCAGAAAGCTCATACAAAAATAATTAGGACAAATCACTTTGCAAGTACCTTTTTGGAGAAATTACCCTGTGACCAGGAAAGCCTGGATTAGTCCTGGTTTAGACCTGGTTTAGTCCTGGTTTAGTCCTGGTTTAGTTCCTGGTTTAGTCCTGGTTTAGACCTGGTTTAGTTCTGGTTTAGACCTGGTTTACTCCTGGTTCAGTTCTGGTTTAGACCTGGTTTAGTTCTGGTTTAGACCTGGTTTAGACCTAGTTCAGACCTGGTTCAGTTCTGGTTTAGTCCCAGTTTAGTCCTGGTTTAGTCCCGGGTTTTGTCCTGGTTCAGACCTGGTTTAATTCTGGTTCAAGTCCTGGTTTAGTCCTGGTTCAGTCCATATATGGCGCAAAGGTTCAGCATCTTCGCAGTTATTTAGTAATTTAAAAGTAATGCAATAGTCATGTAATGTTTTACATTTTAAATACAGTAATATTGTAATGTAACAAATTACTTTGAAATGACAGTAACAAGTCATAAATAACGCATTACAGTTTTAAAGTAACTTGCCCAACAGTGCGTAAACACCTACGGCTCAAATCTAATCATAGAACAGAAAAATACCCCAAATGTTCCCACCAGTTAAAAGTAAAAGTTTCCACTGTAAATATCATTCATTATTCAAAATGACTGTTCCATCTGACATGTTGAACGATAAGTCGATCTAGTAATTATCATGATAGGCCTACCGCTCTAAAGTTCTACTGTTTGAGTGAGATATTTGCTGTGGATAACATCAACATGATTCAGGGCAAAGGCATTTCTCCTGATTATCTGAAGGCTGGAGCAGGCAAAACCCAAACAAACACATATTTGGTCCCTCGGGCGCAGAGACTGAGGAGGGTCAGAGGAGGAGAGAGAGTTCAGGGGGTTTAGGGTCAGAGGAGGAGACAGAGGAGGGGGTTTTGGGGTTAGAGGAGGTGATGAGGAGACCGAGAAGGAGGTCTGGGGGCAGAGGAGGAGAGGAGGAAAAAGTGGAGAGGCCTGGGAGTAAGAGGAGGTGAGTGGGAGGAGACAGAGGAGGAGAGTCTGGAGGTCAGAGGAGATGAGGAGTAGAAGATAGAGGAGAGGAGTCTTGGGGGCAAAGTTGATGATGAGGAGATGATAGAGGAGAGGGATCTGGGGGCAGAGGAGATGAGGAGGAGAAGCCAGAGGAGATGGGTCTGGGGGTATGAGGAGGTAAGATGGAGGAGAGAGTGAAGGAGAGTCTGGGAGGCAAAGGAGGTGATAGAGGAAAGGGGTCTGGGGTTCAGAGGAGGTGAGTAGGAGGAGACAGAGGAGGAGGGTTTGGGAGGCAGAGGAGGTGAGGCGATGGAGACAGTGGAGGGGGTCTGAGGGGCAGAGGAAGTGAGTAGGAGCAGACGGAGGAGGAAGGTCTGAGGCTAAGAGGTGCAGAGGAGGTGATAGAAGAGATGGTTCTGGGGGTCAGAGGAGGTGAGGAGGAGACAGTAAATGGAAAAAGGGTCTTAGGGTATGAGGTGAAGAGGCGAGAGGGCATCCTGGGAGCAGAGGAGGAGATAGAGGAGGGTCTGGGGGTATGAAGATTTGAGGAGGAGAGAGGGGACCTGGGGACAAAGGAGGTGAGGAGGAGAAAGTGGAGGGGCTCTGGGGGTAAGAGGATTTGAGGAGGAGGAGACAGAGGAGGTAGGTCTGGAGGGAAGAGGATTTGAGGAGGGAAGAGGGTCCTGGGAGTGGGTTTGGGGGTCAGAGGATGAAGTAGGAGGACACAGAGGAGGGTCTGGGAGGCAGAGGAGATGAGGAGACAGAGGAGGAGGGGTCTGGGGATCAGAGGAAGTGAAGAAGAGGAGACAGAGGAGGTGGGTCTCGGGGTCAGAGGAGGTGAGGAGACAGAGGAGGAGGGGTCTGGGGTCAGAGGAAGTGAAGAAGAGAGAACAGAGGAGGGGGTCTCGGGGTCAGAGGAGGTGAGGAGACAGAGGAGGAGGGGTCTGGGGGTCAGAGGAGGTGAGGAGACAGAGGAGGAGGGGTCTGGGGGTCAGAGGAGATGAGGAGACAGAGGAGGAGGGGTCTGGGGGTCAGAGGAGATGAGGAGACAGAGGAGGGGTCTGGGGGTCGGAGGAGGGGAGGAGATGGAAACAGTGGAGTGGGTCTAGGAGTAAGAGAAGGTGAGTAGGGGGTCTGGGGTTATGAGGATTTGAGGAGGAGGAGACAGTGGATACGAAAAGGCTCTCAGGGTAGGAGGTGAGAGGGGTTCTGGGGGCAGAGGAGGTGAGGAGGAGGCAATCGCGGGGGTCCTGGGGTAAGAGGAGATAGAGGAGAGGGGTCCTGGGAGCAGAGGAGGTGAGGAGGAAACAGCAGTGGGTTCCTCGGAGCAGAGGAGGAAACAGCAGCAAGGGTCCAGGAAGCAGAGGAGGTGAGGAGGAAACAGTGGCGGGTTCCTGGGAGCAGAGGAGGTGAGGAGGAAACAGTGGCGGGTTCCTGGGAGCAGAGGAGGTGAGGAGGAAACAGTGGCGGGTTCCTGGGAGCAGAGGAGGTGAGGAGGAGACAGGCAGTGGGTTCCTCGGAGAGAGGAGGAAACAGCAGCAAGGGTC